CTTACTATATACCTTAAAGTAATCAATTTCATAGTTAGATATAATTTTTTAAATTTTTATTGCAACAACTGTTTGTCTTCGCCGCCTCTGACATGCAGTTGGCAGCGATGGCACTAAAAATTCAATTAATTTTAAAGAGCATAAAACATTTTATGTATTGAATCATAGAGCAATAGTTCATAAAAAAACCTATATTTAACAGCTTAAGACTAAACACAGCAGCTAGATGATACTTTCTGTGTACCCGACTTACATAAACTTAAAGCCTCAATCGAGAAGTTCTGCGTTGTAACATAACCAAAACGTATATACCAACCGTTGCATACAAAGAACTTGAATGAAAGCTAACTGATAACATACACTTAAACCAATCATAATGAGTGCGGTATCACAAAGTTACTAAACGGGATGAGAATTCCTCAACAGGTTGATTCTGTGTGAATGACGAGCACCAACATTTTTTGACAAAAAAATGTAATTTAAATTTCATTTGTAAATATTCAATACATTTAAGAAATAATATTATAACTAAAAACCATATTAATAGATAAATCTTATGAAAAAAAAACTATGCTTAATTTATCTATATACATGAACANGATAGATAAAGACATCAAGCATCTTTAAAAAAAAAATTATATTGATATGTTCATTTTTGAAAAAGTTACGGCAGTTTTTAGTAAAAAAAATTGAAAAAATTTCGAAAATTAGCGATTTTTAAATTTGTATTTTTTTGGAGGTTTCCCCCATTTACGGGGAATGAGGGAAATTTTTTCAATTTTTGAGGGAAATGTCTTCGACTACATACGATATGTGATCTTTTGACGTATAGTTGAAAGAAATCGGTTCGGTGAGAGCTGAAAAAATTGTAACAGACACAAAAAAAAAAAATAATAAAGTAAAAAAATAAACACATCTTAGTAAAACCAATACCTTTTCAGTTTCGCATCGAAGCTAATAATTTTAAATTATGTGAATTTTTAAACAAAAATATTATTATATTGCATAATAATTTTAGTTTAAATTTACTTATTGCGCAACTGATCTTTCAAAAAAATATATCTAGCGTTAAATTGTCCTGATGCGAAATTGTCGGCACTGAATTGTCACGACACCGACTCTCATACTTAATGACGAAATATGTGCACTAGTATTCATAGCTCTAGATGAAAATGTGAATAGATATATGTTGCTTTAATTATTTTAGAGTGAGTATGATTTAATAAATATTGTATATTGATATAATATATTTAATAAATATAGTGAAAATGATCAAATATTTCCTTACTATATACCTTAAAGTAATCAATTTCATAGTTAGATATAATTTTTTAAATTTTTATTGCAACAACTGTTTGTCTTCGCCGCCTCTGACATGCAGTTGGCAGCGATGGCACTAAAAATTCAATTAGTTTTAAAGAGCATAAAACATTTTATGTATTGAATCATAGAGCAATAGTTCATAAAAAAACCTATATTTAACAGCTTAAGACTAAACACAGCAGCTAGATGATACTTTCTGTGTACCCGACTTACATAAACTTAAAGCCTCAATCGAGAAGTTCTGCGTTGTAACATAACCAAAACGTATATACCAACCGTTGCATACAAAGAACTTGAATGAAAGCTAACTGATAACATACACTTAAACCAATCATAATGAGTGCGGTATCACAAAGTTACTAAACGGGATGAGAATTCCTCAACAGGTTGATTCTGTGTGAATGACGAGCACCAACATTTTTTGACAAAAAAATGTAATTTAAATTTCATTTGTAAATATTCAATACATTTAAGAAATAATATTATAACTAAAAACCATATTAATAGATAAATCTTATGAAAAAAAAACTATGCTTAATTTATCTATATACATGAACATGCTTAAGAATAACTTAAACAAAACTTATTTAAAATAAAAAATTATAAATATAATACTATATAATAATCACGATACTTTGAAATATTACAATATGATTCTATTTGATTAGAATATAAGTATTATAAAAATTTAATTCAATTTGAATTTATAGTATATTACAAACAATTACTACAATTTATTGAAAATAGAAATCAAATTATGTTTAGAGTACTTTTTATACAGAAAACAATTTATAAAATAATATAAAGCATTCAGAGTCGAACCAAAGTCAGATTTTGGTAACTTTAAACGACCTCCATAAAGGAATTTCGTTGCTATGGTGTTATAAATGAAATGTGTGCTCAGAGTACGGTAAATCCATTTTTATACATTAGTCGTGATCGCATTCTTCCATTCATTACACACTGGGTGCGTTAGGATGTTTGGATATTTTATCAAACACCTCATAATTCTATGTATTATGTACAAAAAGTTTTAGTGATACTGAAGTTATATTTAATTATAAAAATAATACAATAATTCATTGTCTTCACTGTCAAACCGTATATACATATCTTACGATGGTACGCAGTAAAAAAATATACCAAATTACCGTCATTGTTTGTACAATACAAATAATACCGTGACTGACCATTCAATGAATCAAATAACAATATGTAAAAGTAACAGGTAATTTTAAATAAAATACAGCTATCAAATTTGTGTTGTTTACAATTTTAATATATTTTAATGTTTAAAATTAATTATCCAAATTACATTTTTAATTATTAATACTGATATATTTAATCAATGAAATTAACAAGTGTTTATTTTTCATGTAAATAAGTCTCATACTTCATACAGAATTAAGTATTATAATTAGAATATATATTATCAGTTAATTAAAACTATACGAATTTATAATAAAAGACCAAATGTTTATTTGAGTGTATTAATATATAATTACATAAACTATCACCACGATCAGCAGATATTATATCGTTTCAGTTTTTCTGTTTTGTAAAATTGTTGAATGGTAAATTAATTAATGTTAATATTAAGTGTGTCATTCAGTAGTTCAATATTCAACAATAATTTTTATTTTTATTATGTCAGAGGTAAACAAAAATAGAAATATCAAAATTTTAACCGCTGTGTTTGTGTAAACCGTTTAATAACAGAATGGTATATTTTTTTCTCATAATTTATACTTACTAATTGGAATACTGGATTATGAAGCTTTAAAGGCAAATAATTAGATGAGTTTTTATTTGTATACTTTATGATTTTTATAAAACATTAGGTGAATTCATTTTTAAGCTCTAATATTTTAATGGCATGATTAGGCGTTGAATAAGTTGAGCTGAAATTAAATTTAAACACGTTGTGTTCATAAAAATAATCATAATGATAATTAAAAAGCGTAATATGTATCAGACTTTGATGAATGCTTTAAAATACGATGAATAGATTAAATGATATATCGACATTTTACATACATATTTTAACATGTAATTTTCAAAAACTTAATTACTGATTTATCCAAGATTAGTAGATATATAAATACAGAAAGGCGTGTCAGAACTATAATATAAGGTGGGTAAATCATTTGTATAGTAAAATCGTGCTCGTAAAAAAATATTTAATAAATAATTATTTAGTAATTACTAATACTAACATAACTTCATTAACATTAATAATTGAAAAATAGTCGAGACTTATAGATGAGATCAAAAAAATTTAATAGCTTTGAGATACTTAATATAATATAATAAAACTCCAAAAACATATAACTTTCCTGTATAAGTATTACTTAACAGTTAAGTAAGGGTTGTTTATTTCTCAATGATGTTATAAAATATTTTATAGTTGTATAATTTAATATTTCTTTATGTGATAAATACTTGACTGTTTATTTCAGTTTTTACATAGTTTAAAAATATAAATTTTCAATACATATTCATGTTTCAAATTAACAGTTAATAGGATGCTGAAGTTTTCTGTTCTATTCAAAGTCTATATGTCAGAGCGTGTATAGGTTCAATGCACATATTATGCGCATTCTATTGTCTAATAACATGCTGACTTGAAAGATGTATAAAACTTGAATTGCCCCCGGGAACAGGCAACCCAAAATTTGTGTTGCGTAATGTAACGAAGGATGTTCGTTCACATGTATAATTTGTTGTTATATAGCAACAAAACCTAGCAGTTTTATTATATTCATGATAAATACGTCTATGTGCGCGTGATTTGTACTAACAGAGAAAACAAAAAAAAATATGCTAGAATAACCAAGGAATAATAATGGCAATATATTTTAACCTGTATAAACCAAACTGAAACTGATTAACTTTTTCATTGGACCAATCCAAGCAAAAGCAAAAGATAAGGTTAAATTAAAGACTACATTTGACGCAGTTTTTAGGAATAAATTATAGAATGATTAAGACTATTGAACTTAATTTTTAATTTTTTGAAATAAAATTTTTTTTAAGATTTTTTAACTAAAATGTTAGTTTATCGCGAAGCGTAGATTTTACATAAGAAACTAGAAATAATGTTGAAAAGCTTTGCTATCTTCCAGTGACATTCTATGCATCGTATTGATCAATGATTAAAATTATTTTTAATCAATAACTAGATAGATGGTATCCTACATTTTTTAAATATTTGTTTAAAAGCATTATATCTTTTTAAATAACGAGAAAAAAATACTGAACTGTATACTTTTAAAATAACTCGTGTTTCATAATCAATCATAAGGTTTTAAAGCTCGTTTTATAAATATAGTATAATCTGGACAAGCGATTTACTTGTGAAAATAGTGCCATTCGAAAAAACATTTTATACAGTTAAAAATATTTAACGTTGCCAAAGTATTAATCAGCTTTAATTATTTTATATTTTAATAAATTAAAATAATAAATAATACTAAAACCTACAACATTATAGCAATTTCACAACTCTATATCATATCATCTATATTGTCAATCCAACAAAAGGTAATCAACCAAAACAATAAGAAGGACGTTCAATAGTTAATCAGGAATTCATTTTTATAAGAAAATCTATTTTACTTCAATGTATTCAAAACTTAAAATATTTTTGTAACGCTTATATTTTATTTTATTTTTAGTAAAGTGATTTCGTGACATGAGTTCAACTACTTCACAGATTAGTGATTTTAACTTATTAAGAAAATACGGAAAAAGGTAAAAATAATTAATTTAATATATTAACTACAGAAAATAAATGATATGACTAAAAAAATGTTATTGATTTAACGTCTTTAAAAAAAATTACTTGTATATAGAAAATAAATTAGTAGCCAATCTAAGATCTACTACTTTGATAATGTTAATTGTAAAATATTATATGAACAATTAAAATCATTCTAATTCAGTCATAAATATATGTTTTATTTAAATAAGTTTTATTATCAGTTAAATTTCATTGATTATGACAGCCTGTTAGCCTTGGTGTATCAATAACAAAAAATACTGGGGTTTATAACACATATTTATTATAGATTAAGTAAATATAAAAAGTTTATAAATAAATAGGGAATTGATACATAGAAAAATAATAAACTCATAGTTATGAACTCTAATAACCTCTATAGCTATATTTTTAACTAATTTCGTTATTAATTGTTTAAGTAAAAAAAAATTATTTTGATTATATATATTATTATTATTATTCATGATCATATTTAGATTTTATTATAATAAAACAGAAAATCTGTAATTATATTAACTGTGTAGAATGCGTTAGGTGAGAGGATAAAATGAAAAAAACATTTGAAACCTGTTCATTCATTGGCAAATTACTCTTGATATAGGTCGTCAAAAAAAAATAACTCTACTATCAGTGATTTGTACAATAACTTGTATTCTAGTCAAATGGTCGCGACAATCGACCAGAAAAACAAAATGTCACCTCAAAGGACAATATCTTTGGTAAGTTACAATTTATATTAAATAAAACAACCTTTATGACACAAAGTTGAAGGCATTTTAAACAAATATTATTAAATTTGACAGTATTTCAGAGCTTGTTGAATGATGTTACTATTTAGGATTAATAACATAAACAAATTTGTTTATAAAAAAATTAATGTCTAGAAAAATATTTTATAATTTTTATTTAACATTATAAAAAAAAACTTTAAGGATGTATTTTCATTAAAAATATTTAAAAAATTATTGAGTTTGTAATTTGCGCATATCAATTAAAGTAACAGTGGTTAATATCTTTAAAATACCTTTGACTTATTAAACAGAAAATGTTTGAAAGTCTAATCTACATTAATGTCATACTGCACATACTCATAATATTACCATTTAGTAATATATTATTTCATATAAAAAAGCTTAAGTACCAACAATATTAATAATCTAAATTTTATTCTTTTGATTTGTTTTATCTAAGATAATATTTAATACATTTACAACTAGTGAAATACCGCGTGAAACTTTTTTTATAAATTTTTCTATTACATTTGAAATAATTTTGAACTAAATTATTAATCATTTAGCAAGAAAAACTAAATTTCATAGACATTTATACATAGCTTAGTACTTTTTGTAGTATTTTATTCAACATTTTCAAAATTATGTTATTTTTTCAATAAAAATTCAATTTATTTTCCTTAGGTAATTTTCATAATGTGATTGGTCAATTATACAAGTTTAAAATGTTTTGTGTTATGGTTCATTTTCCCATGACAGTCTTGAGTTTTCAAGGACTCTAACGAAGCATACTAAAATAGTTCCCCATTTCCGGATTGTATAGATTAAATTTTACAAAAAATACAACGAACATCGTAATACACCTACTAGTGTCTATTAAACGTTTGTCATTGTTTGAAAATGTAACATTTTCCCTGCTTGAATGAAATAATTTGATATCATTCAGAGTTTTATATAACAGAAACTCGATCAACGAATATTTTAATAAATCAGTTAAAAATTCTCTAAATAAATTTAAATAATATAAAATCAACTTGTAGGTATATGTTCATAAGATATATATATAGAGTGCAATAGATTTAACTGACAACTCTTATAACTTTTGACATAATTAAAGTTTCACTGTAATATTTTTTTAAACAATCTTTACACTGTAAAATACTTTACGTATAAGTAAAAACATAAAATTTAATACAAAATTAGTCTAATAGTGTAAGTAATGGGAAAATTCTGAAAATTATTATTTTTTCAAAATAAAAGGAGTTATACAGAAGTATTATCTTAGGGCTGATAGTCACCCTTTTTGATTTTTTAGTGATTCATGAAAATGATATATTTTACCTGCTTAAGCCAACAAAAAGGAATAGGTCCTATACAAAAACTTATCTGTGAAAAAGGAACAAGTTTGAACTCCCTCTCTCCCAAAATATTCTGCTTATCAAAGTGAATATCTACATTGTTTTTTTTCTGTTCATAATCTTCAATCCTACTTTTATATAAGTTCTATAAGCAACATTGCTGCTTAATTCGTATTACTTAACATTTGGCCAAGTACTGACTGAGTACTCGCAAGCTCCCCCTCCCTATAATCATGTAACGATCAAATTTTTGACCAAAAATTTGATCTTGAAAAAAAGGTTTCATTAAAAATAACACTTATTATAAATTTATAAAAACATTTTCTTTAGACTCCTCCCGAAAATATACTATAAATGTGCCGCAATAACATTTTCATAAACCAAAATTTTAATTTTTCCCGTAGATTAAAAATCGTAACTACAAAAATTGTTTTTGTAATATTTTAGGGCTCATTACATCATGCATCACAGACACAATACATGGAGCCTAGATTGACGCAGCTTGAAACTTTAGAGGCAAAGGTAATACTTTACACATTAGTTATAAAAGTGTACGCTGATTGATTAATGTTTTTGTTACCGCCAATTAATTATGTCAATACAAGTATGTGTATAGTAACTCTTATTAAACTCAAGAGTACTTTAAAATATATGTTCTTTTAAATAATATAAAATGTATTTAAATAAAAATGATAATAATTAATAATTGATTAGATGGCTAATATCGAAGTTTCGTTGTCAACAACGTTGAAGAAGCCAAAGAAGAGCTTTACGCCTATAATTCCAAACAATTCACAACCAACGCCACCTCCAACCGTCATACATGGTTCTCAAAAAAACACAACTACACCAACTAAAACAATGAACGGTTACATGTTAAAATCTACAAACAATAATTATGATAAAGAAAATTTTAATCATAACACGTGAGCTTATCGATGATTTTAACATTTAATTAAATTGCTTAAATCAGTAAATAAAAATGTTTAACAATACTGTAAATATTTCCTATCAGTGGGCAGAAATCAAAAGTTGTAGGTAAACTTGATGGTTGGATTGAGTTTAATACATTTTACAATGTTTGATTATTTTTTTTTTAATGGAATATATGCAAATAGCTTACATATTTAAAAAACTGATAATAAACTTTTATTAAATTGCAATTAGTCGGACTATTAAAAACTTAATAGGATTTATATGTTATGTTTGTTATTTTTTCTAGCATTTCAAAATCTCCAATTAATCAAAATCATCTAGTCAGCGATATTCACACCAATGAAGAGAATAATAATAAAAATAATCTACAGTTTAATAATGACATTGTCAACGATAGTGAAAAACTATCATTGACACAGAAAATAAATAACCTGAAAAATGACATCGACCAAAAGCGATTGGCTATTAAAAATATCAAAATATCTTTAGACCAATTAGATGTTACAGAGTGAGTAATTAGAAATCACTACGAGCTAGTTATCTTCCATTTTCTTACAATAATATTTGGATTTAATAGTAATATTGATACAAGAATTCAACAAGCAGAACTTGAATATCAATTAGGTAGAGAAGAATTAAATTTACTGAGTTTGATGGAAGAAATAAACAAAAATAAATGTCGTTTAGAAGAGGTAGAACATCAAAACGAAAAAAATGAAAACAACACATTATACAAGTATAACTAATCAGATGACTATTTTCAAACAATAAAATAATCTGAACTTATAATAAAAATTCTGTTTAGTTATTTATCATATAATCCAGATACTGTTATAAGCCTTCGAGCCATAGAAATTGAGTTCGATCTAAAAAGTCCTAAATTTGGAGTCGGTCCTAGAAAAGATAAACCCGGTTTATTTATTGACTGGACCCTTGACGGATTAGGATTTTCAAAGGGAGACAGGTAAAACATTATAGATTTAATTACAAAAATTATACTAACCAACACAGTTTTTAGTCTTGACAAGGAACATAATTTCAATTTTTGATTTGATTTTGGTACTTAATAGATACATTGTAAGAAATGATCTAAAATTTCTCAAACGTCAGTATAATATTTTTAATAAACACGATAATTTTACATAGAGGTAGTGTAATTTTCACATAAGTTATCGAAAATTCGTTAAAAACACATTTTTATCTTTATTTATCAAAAAATTTTCTTGTATTGTTTGCATTGCTATTGTGTAGCCTCCCATAGGGAGGTTTCTTATCTCTTATTTGAATATTGAAAAACTGAGGGCAGATAACTTAAGCCAAATTAATAATCCAAAATTTTAGGTACGAAAATTTAGTTTTTTTGATTATATTATATTAATTAAAATTATAGTTTTTTTTAAGTAATATATCTATTTTGTGTTTATCGTAACTTTACGAAGACTATTTTTTAAAAGATCTTTCACAAAGTATTTATTGAGTTTATAATTCATTCAATTAGGGAAGATTGAGCAAATGACACACACCTAAGGAAAATTCTCAATAAAAAGTATACCAATAGGAATTAAATGTTTATTTATATCTTAAAAGAAACATAAACTTGTCCATTATTAATATGATCATTTTTTTATCAAAATTTAAGGATTTGGGTAAAATTAAATGTTTAATAAAAAATAATTTGAGACAGTATTAAATATATATGTTGGTAATCCGGTTCATGAATATTGGTAATGACGCTTATGATTACAAAATTTAGTGATAACTATAAAAAATATCAAATTTATCTTTAAAAAAAATAGTATAATACAAAGGTAGGCAAATAATATTGTATTTATTTTCTTGTCTTCTGATACATTGTTATCAATAATATTTTTATTTCACAAAAATATAATTATTTATACTACAGAAAATATAACATCTGTTTATTTTAATTAACACAATATAGAATCAAATCAAATCATAATAATAGTAAATACTAGTGGGTGCCTTATAATGGGATAATACATTACCTCATTATCACTTTCTCGTTCTTAAATTCTTATGGTTTTATAACTAGAGATATTAAATATTTAATTCCAATTGATAATTAAAATTACTTATTATTACAATGGGTAATAGTTTATAAATTAGTCGAATAATAAGATCAATAACTTATTAATAATTAATTTGCATATAATATTAGTAATAATTTTATTTTAATTCAAAACTATGTATCTGATGAACTCTGAAGACATTATAAAATTTGTTAGTCTTGATAATATTTCATAAAATTAATTTAAAGATTAAATATCAATTTAAGCAGTATCCACCAATTATGCGGCAAATTCCCATATACCTTTCTACTATTTTAAAATATTTTAATGCTTAAAATTAATCAGTATCATTGGCAATGTGTCTATTTTACTTAAATATCTATGTTATTAATGTACACGAATTGTATTTAAGTAAATTTACTAATCCTAGTTTTATTTATATTTATAATTATAAGCATTTTTTGAGTACGCTTATAATTATCATTTTAGAGTATACATATTTTTTTAATAAAGTAATTAGAGACAATAGTTACATTTTAGATAAAGCACATGTATGCTATAGTCCTTATTTTTCATAGGTTGCTTGAGGTAAATGGTAAAGTAGTGTTGTTAATGAAAAAAAAAGAAGATCTCAACCGTTTGTTAGAAGTTTCACCTGGCTGCGTACGTATAGTGGTTATGAAAAATGGACCTACGGTTGACCAACTTGAATTAGTGGCTCTTAAACGGGAATTAGATGAGTGTCGTGCTCAAGCTGAAGAGGTTGATAGATCCAGACATGCGTACAAAACGGATAACGTAAGGCTTTCTCATCGAGTGTCTTATCTTGAAGACCAAATATCAGAACTAATGAAAACTCGATCATCGGCGGCATCTGTACTATTTCAAAGAGGTTCTAATTCAGCTATGGTCCGCAGCAAAAGTCCTAAACATGGTGTCTCAGCTATACAACAGTATAAACGCAAACAACAACTAATTTATGACGATAGACCAGTACTAGATGGACCCGTTAAGACTCGTATCCGTACTGTCCCTCGCCTATACGGCAGTTCGGCATCTGTCGAATCATTGGTGTCCACTTCTGACGTTATAACAGTGGCCCCAAAATCTTTTGATGATTTACAGGCTGTTTCACCTAAACGGATTAGTAGATGTCCACCCGGAAGAAGTAGTCGAACTCGACATATACGAGAAGCCCAACAGACTTTGTTTCGATTTCTAGATTCTGAATCGTCGGGTTCGCCTTACCTACCACAAATGTATGCTAGCAGTAGTGGGAGCGTTAGATCATTAGACCTGGAAGCTGTTGATCATCAAAGATTAAAAAGCAATGAATATTATTCACATCTAACTGCTGGAGGTAATTCGCTTCATCCTAGTCGATCCCTTAATTACGATTCAGAAAACTCTGGTGGTCGTCGCCCTATGCCTCCTAAAAAACCACTACGCTTATCCTTACAGCAAAGACAAAAAGATAAAGAAATAAATGAAAAACGACACCACCGGAACAATAGTCATGATGAAATTGATTTATCCATAATAAACAACACCATGTCACAAATAAAATAATGTTACAATATTTTTGTACTTTTAACTTAAGTGACCAAATAAAATGTACACTAAATATTTTTTAAGTAAAAATTTATTTTACGTTTATTAATTATTAATTCTATAAAAATGAATAACATTAAAATTACCGTTATTATGATATGCAGCAGGGAGTTTGTTAAGAAAACATATAAATTGTTATAAACAATAAAAATCTGTTAACTTACATTATGAACACTCTATATAAAATTATGTACTGCGTCATTATTAAATGAATAGCAGAAGCGTATACGATTATTATTATATTGATTATTTGTTTGTGAGGGGACTTTAAAAACATAAACCTCATTATTTACAATTAAAAAAAGTCATTATGTAGTATATTGTCCACTTAATAAAATATTTTGAAACAATTTTCGTATCAAAATATAAGTATAATAATATTAAAAATACCTATATAATCCATTAAAGATGAAAATACTAAAAGGTCACTATTATGATCCAAAATTTATAATTTATGGAATTATGAATGCGAGAACACAGGTCTACAAAATATAAAAAACCCAGCACAGGGGGGTCTCGGCACAGTGGTGATGTGGCATAGTTGGATCAAGTATAATGATATCTGACAGTGATTAAAATCACTATCATAAAAAACGCTTCGATGCAAATCTTTAGATAGTGTTTAATTTTAAAAAAATTGGTGGATTATTCCAAAAGCTACATGATCTGCTAGTTCCTCATTAATATCCTGATTAAGATAAAGTATGTCGAATGAAAAAGGGATTATTAAAAAATATTATTTCTCATAAAAAATTATGTTGATCCATACACTTATCAATATGTTATAGTATTAAAAAGTTAAAAATGAAAAAAATAAAATTGAGGATTTTCACACAATAATAGCATTTAGTAGCCATTTTCATCGTGAAGACAAAATAAAGTCCGAAATTTTTTTTTTTTGCATAATAAAGTAAATTACATTAGCTTTAATTTAAGATATATATAAAAGTGTCAGACTTTCCGGAACATTTTCAAAAGTTAAGTTGGAAAAATTAATTTTTTTTGAAAAAGTTGTCATTTTAAATCCCTCACTGTGGGCAGGTAAAGAGTCAGATATAAAAAAAAAATATACTAAATGAAAGGTAATGATATCGTGCATATATATAAAAAAGAATTATATTAATTCGGTTATTTTTAAAAAAGTTATGGCAATTTTAAGTAAAAAAAATTGAAAAAATTAGCGATTTTTAAATTTGTAATTTTTTTGGAGGTTTCCCTCATTTACGGAGAACGAAGGATTTTTTAGGGTAATGTCTTCGACTAGATACGATTTGTGATCTTTTGACGTATCATTGAAAGAAATCGGTTCGGTGAGAGCTGAAAAAAAGTGGTAACAGACACAAAAAAAAAAACACATATTAGTAAAACCAATACCTTCTCAGCTTCGCATCGAAGCTAAAAATATTTGTAGCTTTGTTTGTAAAACCTTGTGGAGGAACGCAAGTGAATATTGTAACATGAAAAAATGCTCCAGAATTGAAACTACGAAACATTAATAAGAGATTTTAATATCATATTTGTTCTGAAGATTTATTCTACAAAATAATTATTTTGAAACATCTTACATTAATTTTTAAAAATGTTAATTTTTACATAAATTAAAAACTATTCTATATATTAATATTTTTAACTTAAAATCTTACAATCATTCAAGAAAGAAAATAATGTAAAATATTTACTATGTAAAAATTTGTCTTATCTCTGTGTTTTACCAGTATATGTCCCAAGTTAGGGCCAATACTCTATTCTTTTTTTGCGTGGAGATGGTTTTGCATGAAAATTAGATGAAATTAGTTATCACAAAAATGTAATGAGCAAAAAAAATAATGTATAATTATATGTCAATTTATTTACCCATTAGGACTACAATGGTGAAAAATCTTCTTCCTCGCCTTAAACCCAACTACTTGGAGTCGGTCAACAATGGATAAAATTATCGACTATATTAATTTAAGCAGTTATCATGGGGGATAGACACTCTAATAATATCATTACTGTTATATACTCTGGTGTATTACTAATTAATGAAATTTAAACCCACTAACTTTTTGCTACAGAGCTTTATAAAAGTATTTAATAATAAAATTCTCTTCTCGATATTGGCCTCTCTTAAAGGGTAGCTTCTGTACGAATTCAGGTGGTACTCTGTGTAGGAGTTTATAATTTTCACCACTGTAAGTAGTGAAAAAAGTGAAATTTAATTTATACCATCCTTATTAGACGAAAATACAATTTGAAATTTTCACCAAAATTAAATTCGGTAATTTTTTGATAGTACGACTCTTCAAATAATCACGGTAACTAACGATTCTTATTTGAACTAATAGTCTAATAAGACCATTTCTCGTACTGGATTTATTATTTTATTTTTTACATGAGTGCTTTCAGTGCCGTATTTATGGAGAGTAAGTATGGCAATTAGTTTCCAACATTTTATTTAATGAAAAGCAAATTTTTCAGGAATACAGGAATAATAAAATAGAACGCTATTATTGTCAATAGACCAATTAAATTCCGGCAAGTTGAAATCGCCGCAAAAATTAAAGGAATTAAGATAAAGATGGGTAAAAAGATCAACAGAAAAAACATATGCATCATAAAGGAACAAATCACTGGAAGGAGGAAGGTAAACAGAGCTTATAACAAAAGAACAAGCGCCTAATTGAAAAGAGACAAACAATTGTTTAATAGTATTATTGGAAACGTTGATTAAAAAAGAAGAAATATTTGTAAATAAATACTGTAATTAGTACGCCACCACCTTGAGAACATGAACTGCTTAAAAATGGACGGTCTCAACAAAACACATTATAATTCGTGAGACCAAGTTCGCTAGATTAAAGTGAGTCATTTAACTAAGTTTCTGTGATAAGTATAAAAAGGTGTCTTGAACAGGAAAACAAGTAAACTTTAAAGGTAATAACAACTGATGAAGAAACTCTAAACATGTATTACTAAATCAAAGAAACTACCAGATAATTTTGAGGTTGAAAAATGAAAGACTGTCACTAAAAATGATAACCATTAACATATACAGATTGTTAAGTAAGGAAACATGTCAATTGTTGCAAACAACGAGAACAATAGAAAGCCGTTTCCTTACTTATTAAACACTATACAAAGTGTTTAGTAAATATGAAACCCGGTTTCCATTATTCTCGTTGTTTGTAATAAATGACCTGTATCCTTCTTACTATTTGAACACCTTGTAAATTAGAGTATATACAGAGACATGGTTAATCTGATCTAGATCACTCAGTTAGTTGGGCTGAAGCATTTGGCTTGACGTTTAATACTTCTAAGTGCTCTAAAATGACTTTTTCACGTATTTCCAATCTGTCATATTCCTTCAAGTTATTATATTCATAACTTACCTATTTACTATATATAACCTCCCCTCCTATATAACCATACTGTTAAACCAAAAGTTTAGGTATTATAATTTAAAAAATAAAATAAGAATAATTATTTTAATTTTATTTTTAACATATTTTTTTGTTTAATTCGGTATATTGTTTAAACAGAACAGGTAAATTACAAAAGCGTTTTAACAAATTTGGTGCAAAAAAATATGTGTTGTAAATGTTTTAGGACAAATTTGATGAAAATTGGCTACAGCCGTTCAATTTATCGAAATTCTTTATTTATGCGAGACCTATTCGTTTACATAACCGTAACAAGACAACAAAGATTAATTTTAAAATGTGTTTTAAAAATACTTTTTGAAAAAACACTTAAAATTACAAATAAAAATGATTTGTATTTACGATTAAAAAAAACAACGAAATTCAATAATGATTGTGAAATATACATACAGAGTGTAAGTATAATTAATGTAACAAGTAGTAAGGTGATATTCAGTAGAACCTAAAAATAGTGAAATCAAAAACTAAAATTTCTTATCTCCAAAATTAGGGTTTTCCCTCTTCAAATTTTATTTAAATAAAAAATGAACAGTATTTACCATAAAATTCTCATACAAATTGAGGGGTCACTCAATTTTTTGTAAATTTAGCACCCTCCTCTGAACTTTGGGTTCAAAGTTAGAAATGTGAAAAAAGTTTCATTTTAGTGTGGTCCCATCAATTTGAATTGAAATTTTACTGGGAGTCCTGTGATGTAGTTTATTTTTAGTTTAAACGATTACTTAACGAGAAAACCCGGTAAAATCCACAGGTAATGTGATATATTTTTTTTAATTTCACGAGTTTATTTTGACTTTCATTATTTATTCAAACTAATTATAATTTTTACCATTGAAACTATACTAGAATTATAATTTTTATTCTTTTGAAGCCTGAGAAATAAAACGATAGCAACATTGAAATGAATATCTTGAGCAAAATATTTTACACTTTATTACAACAGGATAATTAGAAATAATAATAACAAGTTGTTTTAGCTTCGATGCGAAGCTGAGAAGGTATTGGTTTTATTACGATATGTTTTTTTTATGTCTGTTATCATATTTTCTCAGCGCTCACCGAACCGATTTCTTTCAAAAATACGTCAAAAGATCACAAATCGTATCTATTCGAAGACATTACCCTTAAAAATTACAAAAAATATCCCTCGTTCCCTCGTAAATGAGGGAAATCTTCAAGAAAATTACAAATTTAAAAATCGCTTATTTTCGAAATTTGTACGATCTTTGACGTATTGTTCATCAAAATCGATCCAGCAAGAGATAAGATAGAGCGTTCACAGACATAAAAAAAAAATAATTAAAAAATTAAAAAAAAAACCCAGCACAAGGGAGTCACAGTACAGTGGTGACGTGGCATAGTTGGGTCAAGTATAATGATATCTGTCAATGATTAAAATCATTATTATAAAAAACGCTTCGATGCAAATCTTTAATTAAAATTAAAATCATTAATTTCTCATGTTTTCAAAGTATTTATTGACGAATCAAGTTTGATATGATAATTTGATATTACAAAATTTTCAATTACAAAAATAAATCTTAATAATTTCTTTTTAATTTAATAATTTTATTAATCTATTTGTGTGTG